CTGGGACAGTGTGATCAGGTGCATGCGGAGCCGTCAGCCCAGCGCAGGACAGGTTCCTAGGCTGCTTGGCAAACTACTACAACCTGCAAACAACAGCACCTGCTTTGTCTGGACACTAGAAGTTTAAAACCAAGAAGCCTCCTGCTGGAGGCCCCAGGGCCTCTCCCATCTTCCTCCCCCAGCTCCTGCTGGCTGCTTGCAATCCTTGGTGTCCCCTGGCTTGCAGGTGGCACCATCCCAACCTCTGCTTCCATCACTACCAGGCAGTCTCCCCGTCTGGGTCCAAATTCCCCTTCCTGTAAGGTTGCCCGCCACGTCCAGTGTGAGCTCACCTTGCTCACATCTGCAAAGATAAGGTCCCAGCCACAGGTGCTGGGAGTCTTTGAGTTTGCGGGGGGGCATCACCAAGCTCTTCTGATGTCTGGGCGATTTCCCTGTGAAGTTTCTACCAGTTCACTGTCCGTGCAAAGGAAAAGAGCTCCACAGGGTGGGAGGTCAGACTGCACACGGAGCATGCAGGGCAGCAGGGGCAGGGGCGACTTCACACATACTGAAGACGAAGATTTGAAAACAAAGTGACACAAAATAAACTATTTTTAGGGATTAACATTCACCTGGCTAGAGAAGCTGGTGGGCTCATCCTCAGGTAATGGATGGATTCAGACCAGCTGAAATGGAGGGTGATCTCTCCCTCCCCTTCCCCACACAGGCCGGACTGGACTCGCCACAGCTCCACTTCCTGTCTGTCCCCCGGGCCTGCAGGGCAGCTCCTCACACTGGAGGTGGGCAGAGGACACGGAGCCTTGGGGTCAGAAACCAAGGACACCGGGGATGTCAGGGCCGGAGCTCGGCTCATCCATCTCCGGCGGATCTACGCCGGGGCTCTCCATTCTTCCGAGTTTAATTTTTTGAACACGAATAGTCATGGCTTTTATACTGCGACCCCTTAGAGCTGTCTCTAGGCAGAGTTTAGGCCTCTGGTTGATGAACACAGCCCACCCCCCTGAGAGTTTCAACGTCTTGATGCAGACAGTAGCCTGTTTCTGGGGAATTAATATGAACTTTTATCTTTTCTGTCCTTTTTATAACAAAAAACCCCCACAAGCGCTGACGTGTGGCACAGGCTCAAACCACTACCCAGCTGAGGCAAAGCAAGTCCTCCTTAGTGGGGCACATGGGCTCTCAGGGGCCCCATCCAGCCACCTGTGGCCTCCTGCAAAGTAGAAGAACAGAATAACCTGCCAGGCTGGGCACCCGCCTCGGCCACACCAGCGCTGGGTTCCATCCCCACATCATGAAATGAGATGTGCACATCTGCACGCCTGTGGCATCACAGGTCCACCTCAAAGGGAAGGGTTACTAGGGATTATTCGGCGGGGTTTTAGGTGTATAGTTCGGCTGTCCCCTTACACCAGAGAAGCGCAGTTCAAACCTCCTAAGTCTGCCTGCTGGCTGGACCCAAACCAGAGGTCACACAGGGCAATGTCCCCTCTGGGGCTGGGGCCCCAGAGGCCCTGAGCTGCCTCTGCATGGCCCAGGGCAGCTTCCTCTCATGTCCCAGCCCAGGCAGACCCAGCTCCAAGGTCACATTTGTCCCTTCCTTGTGACTGGGGGTGAAGGGTCTGCTCCCCTGTTCCTCTGCTTAGGACACTCTCCAACCTCGGCTGTGTCACCCCCTCCACCCTGAAAGCCCAGCCAAGGTGCCACCTCCAAGGTGACCTTCCCTGACCCCCTCTGAGCCCAAGGTCACTTTAGTCCCAGCAAAGATGCTGATTAGTAACACAGGGAGGCGCAGGAAATGTAAGCAACCAAGGGTCCCAGCAGCTAAGTAACCAGAAGACAGCCTAGGGGCCCCCGGAGCCATTGAGAGATCCTGTTTTCATGGGCCATTTAACAGGGGAAAATGGCCCATGAGCTAGTAAGTAACCAGAAGACACCCACATAAAATATATTCTCACTCCTATAAAAATACTCACACTCACATGTTATATATGTAGAAAAAACCCCAGCAGAGCTGGGTGTGGTAGTGCAGTCCTGTAATCCCAGCACTCAGGAGGCTGAGACAGGAGGATCACCTCAAGTCCAAGGGCAGCCTGGGCTATATAATGAGGTCAAGACCAGCCTGAACTATACAGTGAGACTGTGTCTCAACCAAAAAACCAAACCAAAACAAACAAACAAAAACAGTAGAAAGAATGGTACCAGGGGCTGGGATTTAGCTCAGTGGCACTCCACCTGCCTTGCAAACGCAAGATCCTGAGTTCGATCCATGGTACCAGAAAAAAGAGGAAAGAATTATACCAAAATGCATTCAATGGCTATTTGATTCTCTTCCAAGTCTTGAAATTCTGTCTTAAAGCACAATAATTGGTGAGAACAAGTAGATTTCTTAATGGAATCCCAAATTTGCTAGTCCTAGGCTGGTGTCCCCCATATGAGTCTTTCCAAAATCTCATCTGACGCCTGCTTGCGTCCCACTAGCAATGGTGAACTCACTACTCTCAGGTTTCGTTGGCCACGGTGCCCTCCTGAGGAGTAGAAATCCGGCTCCTGACCCCGCTGGCCAGTCTCGCCTTCCGGAACAGCAGCGAACAAGGCTGCTCTCCACACCCCTTGACAAGAGATTCCAGAGCAGCACCCTGCCTGCCGCCCCACATCCCTGCTTGCTCTTCCTGGGTTCCATGCAGGCCTCGCTGTCCTTAAAGCCTAACTTCAAGTCTACGCCTCATCGCCTCTCAGGAGTTTGCCAATTGCTGCTTGGGCCACCGGGGTCGCCAGTGCCTGCATCCTTTCAGTGAAGTTTCAGAACAGTCCTACAACACAGGAGCTAACCGCATGCCTCGCTTGCCAAGAACCTGAGGCACAGGGAAGCCGAGTCACTTCCAAGGTCACTTAACAGACTCACGAGGAGGCAGGACTGAACCAGAACCCAGCCCAGATTCTAGTGTGGGCCACACAGATGTCTGCCAAGCTTATAGAAGAATAAGTGGCCTCAGTTCTAAACCCTGTGCCCTAGAGTGTGCCGCTTTATTTGAGAATTACTTCCCCTTGGGCCGGCCTCTTCCATGTTACTCGCTTCCACCTGTCTCCCTCTCTCTCACCTGGCCTGCTACCTGCAAGTGCCCAGGAATGGCCACAGCAGGACTGTCCCGCTGAATCCCTGCTGCCTGGGGCCCAGGTTGTGCTGTGGCACTGTGGCCAGGGCCATGGGACAGGGAGAGCCAGCAGTGTTGTGCACAGTGGCTTGGCCACCAGTGCCCCCTGCCCCGCTGGTGACTTGTGGGGATAAGACAGCCCCTCATTGCCCCTCTTTAGCCCCAGGCAAGCCCACAGGTCTGTTTCCTCGGCCCTCACCCTCGGCCTGGCTGCTCCCAAGTCCTCCCGAGGGATGCGACCTGTTAGCCAGTCTCTGTCAAGAGGAAGCGTTTAGGAAAGACCACACCATCCCGATGGGTCCCCAGCACCTCCGCCCTCCTCCCAGGGGCTCCATGTACTCCCAGGATTGTCCCTCCCGGACGCAGGGCCCCAGGCTGGGCCTCTAAGCGAGTTCCAGAAGGGTTGGTCAGCCCAGGCCCGGGGTCTGCAGAACTCAGCAGGCCCTCAGAGCCCTGAGCCAGGCAGGAACCTGACAGGCTTGGGGCTGGGCAAGGGGTGAGCCCTGTCCTGAGCCAGGGCGGCCCCCAACCCCAAGCGAAGCCCCATCCGTTGCTGCCTGCTGCCCCCAGTCTGCACAGAGCCTCTCAGCTGCGCTCCGCACGCTGCCCTCTCGGGCTCGACCTGGCAACCCCACCAAAGCCTCAACCCCCAGCCTGCACGCAGGCCTGTGCTCCCTGCACTCGGGCTCCTCTGCCTCACCCAGTCACCAGCGAGTGTACTTAGACCTGCTCAGAGCTGGCTCGGGAGGAGCATCCTGCAGCGCAGGCTCGCTGGCTGGACACAGCTCCTCAGCCAGCTGTTTCCTCACCGGGGAAGGGGAAGATTCTCTCTGCAGCCCAGCCGGGTTTCCAGGGCTCCCTCCTTGGGAGGGGAGGGGAGGGGAGGGGAGGATATGCACGCAGTGTGCAGCCCCCTCTCATTGTTCCTGTGACCCGAACTTCTGGAGTCTGGGGACGTCCCGTGCGTAAAGTCCCTTCCCCTGGGGGTGACCGAGCACTGGACGTGGACTCCCAGCTCAGGCCTCTAGGGACTGGTGCCTGGAAGAGAACCCGGGCCGCTGCAGAACCTAGAGGGGCAGCGACCGGCCCGAAGTTCAAACAGTAAAGCCAGCCCATGGAAACCGCACAGGGGCAGGGGGACAGGCCAGGCTGCTCAGACGCCACGAGGGTGCGGGCCTTCACGCCAAAGGGCTCTGAGGCCGGCCTGGAGCCCCGGGAGGGGCGAGAGTGAAGAGCCAGGACAGGCGGGAGGGTCTGGGTCAGAGCTGGTGAGTGGAGGAGGCGCAAGGCGGGCCGGGCACTGCACTTCCGCCTCGGTCTCGGCGCAGCCGGGCAACAGGCTCCTCGGTCCTGCGCGAGACGCAGAAAAGTCTGCGGGAGGCAAGGGCGGAGCAGGAGAGCGGCCACGGCGCGGCCCGAGGTTACCGAACACCGTCCCGGGGCGGTGCAGTGCGGGGCGTCTGGAGTCTCCAGGGAGACCGCGCCAAGTTCGCAGAGCAGGACTTCAGGCTCCTCGGTCGCCGCGCCCGGCTCGGTGCTCGGGGCTCGGGGCTCGGGCTCGGTGCTGCGCCTGCCCGAGGATGAGGACGCGTCCTTCTGCTCCAGGCTCCCACTCAGACCCGGTGGCCGGTGCCCCGGAGCGGGAGCAGAGTCCCGGCCGCGCGGCGGGGAGGCGGGAGAGGGCTGTGGCTCCGCGCCCGCACAGGTCCGGAGCGCGCTGGGCAGCGACCCTCAGACCGCCCGCCCGCCCGGCGAGGTCCGGTCCGGTCCCGGTCCCGGTCCCGATCCGGCCGCCCGAGGGGCACCTGCCACCCGCACCCGCGAACTTCCCCGGCCGGGCCGTACCTTCCCGGGGCGCCGGCGGCAGCTCGGCCCGCAGCCCATCCTGCTCCTGGGCCCGGACCCACGCCCTCCGCGCCTCGCCGGTCGTCGAGCCCCGAAGCCGAAGCCGAAGCCGAGGCGGCCGCCTGGAGCCGCGCCGTAAATACCCGAGCAGCCGGGCCGCCCGGGCAGGCGGAGCCGCGCGGTGGCGGGGACGTCCGGGTCCTGTCTCTCCGCGTCCTTGCCGCTGAGGTGCGGTCTGCAGATGACCTAACAGGACCCGGCCGGCCGGCGAGCTCCCGCCCCGAGAGAACTGCCCCGGACCGGATCTTTGAGCCGCTTCCCTACAGACAGGCTGAGGCCACGTGGAGCCTCCCGTGGCGGGTCGTGACCTCTTCCGGCCCCACTGCATAGCCGGTCTGTCAGAGGGAACAAGGCGGCAGGATCCAAGAAAGCAATTCTTTACTGCCGGGCAAGCACCGCAGCTCAGAGCCCCATCCTCATGTCACTAGCGGCGGTTTCTGGGAGTGGCACTGTGTGTGCCTGTGGTGTAACAGTTTTGAAAAGCCCTTGTGGACGCATATCTGTGCGTGTATTAGAAAATTAGGGTCAGGCTGCAAAACTCCGGAGCAGATGTACTGATGAAAGGGATTTACTCAGGATGGGAAAGAATGTGCACCCTCACAAGACCTTCGCCTGTCAGGGTACAGAACCGACTGCAGGTGGTTCTAGAAAAGCAAACAGGAAACAGGTGACCCTGGGTTCTTAGAACAATATAGGCTGGTGGTTTACAAAGCGTGGTTGTGCACCAGCAGCCCAAGCCCTGCCAGGGATAGAAATGCAAATTATCAGGCTCCACTCTGCACCTACAGCTCCCAACCTGGGTGTGGGGCTTGAAATCCCTGGCTCAGGCTAAGGTCCAAGGAACCCTGTGTAGGAAGTGCCAAGGGTGACGAGGGAAGTGTTCAGTTAGGGCTATTGAAACAGTGCTCAGGATTTAAAACAAACAAACCCCGAACAGCCTAAATAGTTGGGGATTGAGCTCAGTGGTTCAGGCGCCTGCCTTGCAAGCGCAAGGTCCCAAGTACAATCCCTGGTACCAAAAAACAAAACAAAACAAAAACCAAAACCCCAAACAGCCTAAATATCAAAGGAAAGAAGCTTGGTTAAATAAATTATGATACAGCCACAAAAATAGAGGGTGGGGGTGTGTAGCTCAGCCTAGAGTAAGCACACAGGCAGTTCTCCGGGTCAACCCCAGCAGCAAGGGGAAGGCGTGTATCCCTAAAAATCCTAAGGAGATGGGCTTTTTTTTTTTTTTTTTAGACAGGGTCTCACTATGTAGTTCAAGCTGTCCTTGAACTCATCTTGCTGAAGATGGATTCTTTTAAATGTTGAAAAATGTAACAAATTCATTTTTATTGTAAGAGAAAGTAGGAGAGCAGGGTGTGTAGCACACCCCTAATCCTAGCACTCAGACAGAGGCAGGAGAATCGCAAGTTTGAGGACAGCCTAGGCACTTAGTGAGACCCTGTCTCAAGAAAGGGGGGGACTGAGCTTGTGGCTCCGTGGAAGAGCACCCCTGGGTTGGATTTTCAGTATCAAGAAGACAAAAAAAGTGTTAATAATGATTACTCCGATTACATTTTGGATTTGTAAAGCTGTTCTTCATTTTCTTATATTAAAAGAGTATGCATTTGGTATTATAATAAACTATTAAAATAGAAAAAGGTTTTTAATGTTTTTTTATGAAAAATAAAATTTCATAATCAAATAAGACAATAACAGTTATTACACTATGCATCATTATCTTCAAAGTTGTTACTCAGAGTACAAGACATAAACCAAAAAGATTTTTACAATAAAGAAGCAAACAGATACACAGAACTTTCTTTTCAACAAACTAAGAAACTGGTAGTATAAATGAAATCAATTAGCAAATATATTGAAATATTTTTAAAATAATGGAATTTGTAGTTTAGGGAAGTATTTGAACTTCTCCCTATATTGTAGTGAGGGTTTTGGCAAGGGAATACATTTAATACAGGACACATAATTTATAGGATTATTTTTATAATATTTACCCCCAAAGTCAAATACAAAGGAGTGGAAGAGATTAGCTACACACTAGAGGCCCAAAGAATCCAGCCAAGGGCCTGGATCCCAGAAATGTCCTGCACAAGTCCAGCGGAAGGCTTAGAGCTCAAGGCAATGTCCTCCACAAGCCCAGCCAGAGGCCTGGAGCCCACGGCAATGTCTCATGCTTGTCCATATCGAGGATCTGCTCTTGGAAGGCCCAAAGGCCAGTGGTGAAAGACAGAAAACCTACACTAGTGGGGTGAAGGATTTGTGCCACCTGGCAGAGGGAGCCACACTGGAGCCAGGAAGTGATGCCCATGGTGAAGATCAGAGCTCCTCCTCCAACAAGAGCGGCCAGGTTTGCATCAGGAAAACCAACTGCAGCAAGCTTCTCCTAGAAAATCAACCGCCCACGATCTTCCCCTCCTTGTTCTCTTTTTATGGCTATTGACAACAATCCGCAGGTGGGTCTTCCATGCCCAGACCACACTAATTCAGTTCAGCTGGGCTGGGCGTTACACATTGACCATTAGTTAATCCACCACACCCTACTTCCTATTTATCTCTCTTCTATTTTGCTCTCTCTCAATATATGTATTTTTTTCTGATACAAGAGAAACCACACAATATTTGCGGTTATGTATCTGATGCATTTCACTGAACATTATATTCTCAATTGCATTCATTAACCTAGGAATGCCTCAAGTTTATCTTTATGGCAGCATAGCACTGCACTGTGTATCAATGCCACATTTTCCTTATTCACCTGTTGCTGGACATGTACACTGTTCCCAAGATCTAGCTATTATAAATGGTGCCCCTACAAATATGGGTATGCATGTATCCCTGTAATATGACAACTTTAACTTTTTTGGGAGGATAACTAGAAGGAGACTATCTGGGTCAAATGGAATTTCTATTTTTAGTTTTTTGAGGAAGCTCCACACTGATTTCCACAGTGGTTGTACTAGTTTACATTCCTACCATTAAAGTATATTTTAAAACCATACATGGACCTAGGTGTGGTGGTGCACGCCTGTGATCCCAGCACTCAGGAGGCTGAGGCAAGAGGGTTGCCAAGAGTTTGCGGCCATCCTGGGCCACCTAGTGAGTTCAGGGCCAGCCTGAACTACGCAGCAAGACTGTCTCAAAGAACAACAAAACCTAAAAATAAAACCACGCATGACGTTGTGATTAGTTGCTCACCATCAAACTCTGAGCAAGTCTCGAAGAAATGCAGGGTGGCTGTTGAGGTAACTAGGAAGAAGAGCCACATAAAGGCCGGAGATGGCTGAACGGCAAACAGCACGCAGGAGGGGAGGACGTGAGCGGTTAGGTGAGCTTGAGCCAGTTGTTTCTCCTGCCTGTCACTTTCCCATCTGCCCTCTGAAGAGCTGTGTATTCTAAGATGGATCTCAAATTGTAACGCCAACCATGAAATCAATAGCTTGCGCTGGTTGGCAGCAACTGGGGTGGTAAGTTCTGCTCTGGACCCTCAGATCAAAAGAGCACTTACTTCCAGCTTCTCCGAGCCTCCTGGGAAGTAGGTTCAGATTTCCCACTCTTCCACTGCTGCCTGTTACATGTCCTTTGATGTTTCTGCCTGAGACAAGCCCAAGGGTTTTCCTGTTTTAGTTTAAGAAAGTTGCCAGTGAGACTCTTGACGGTCACTGTGCAAGCCAGGTTAGATGAGGTTTCTCAGTGACTTAACATGAGAGGCGCTAAGCTATCACTCACACCACATGTCCAGCAGGGCAGGGAGCGACATCACGCCATCCTGAAGTGCATCCGCCTCAGCAGGGTGGCTTCATGCTTACCGGGGTTGCACAGGGAGCACCTCATGGGGTCTTACATGCTCCACTCAGAAGCGACACATGTTAAGTCCATGCACATTTCGTGGGTCGCAGCAAGTTGCAGTCATGGCCAACTTCAAGTGGATGGAGAAATACAAGGTCCACCCAGAAGGAGGGGAGAATCAGACATACTGGTAAACAGCAGTCACACCTTCCGGAGTTAGCAATCAACAGCCAGGTCCTAACTACTATGTGCCCACTACTTGGGCAATTGGGGTGACTTACTCATCCTGGTTTGTCGGGATTTCCCCATTTCTAGCACTGAAAGTCCCAAGTCCCAGGCACACCAGGATGGTTGGCCCCCTATGGGCAAGGCATAATGAAGGTACAAGCCAAAACTCAGACCTTGGGCCGGGGATTTAGCTCAGTGGTTTCGCCGCCTGCAGTGCAAACGCAAGGACCTGAGTTAGATCCCCGGTACCAAACCAAACCAAACCAAACAAAACTCAGACCTTGTCCTTCAGTTGGTTATAATCTATGTTTTTGATGTTAGACTTATGCATGAGGAAAAAAGGGAAACCATGCAAAGCAAGTTATAAGGCTAGTCCCACGCAAAAGGTATTAAGGGGCCAAGACGCATGGGGAGGGTCAAGGGGGACTTCCTGGAGGGGTACCAAGCCAAAGGGTGATGATCCTCGGCTGGGATGGGACGTGCTGCCTGGCTTCTATCGTCTGCAACTCAGAACTGAGTAATACAACCCTCTTCTTACGATTGCCCTTTAGGTGGGCGTGCAGCCCATGCTCAATACTTGTAGGAATGGGAAACCATGTCCTACCTTTCCCTATCCAGGGAGAGGAGGAGGAGTGGGAGTAATTACGGCAGGGAGGGTAGAGTCGGGTCAGCAGAGGGTGTGCAGGTTGGGGAGCTGGCCACGAGGGACTTGTGCTATTAGGTTGTGGAAAGGTCCGACACTGAGGCGTTAGGTTCCTGGGGGAAAATGGGAAAGAATGATGTAGGGATTATCCTGAGCATCTGTCACGAGAAACAGACGACACGCTCAGGCATAAAATGTCCGGCATAGACATCCAGGCAGCTCAGGGAGCTGGGCAGCCCATGCCACGGGCCGTGTGCACATCTCCAGTCAAGCTTTCTTCTCCGTGAATTCTTCTGAGTGAGCGCAATGGTTCCCCAAGCTCATGTCCTCAGCCCAGAGTGATTTTCTTCACAGTCCATTTCTGTGGGTTGCAAGTCTCCTTGTCCATCCAAGAGCAGCTCAATGCCTCTGCCCAACAGTCCGGCCCATCCGCTCTGCAGCCCTCCTAGCACACGCGGCAGCTTCCGCTGGAGTCAGACCTGTTTATGTGCTCTCCGTGCCCCGCCTCGTGGGCAAGGTGTTAGGGGCCCTGCTCCTCGCTCCTCACCCATCCTACGCAGCCTGGACCTTAGGACCTGGCCGGTCCCTTCCTCCACTGCCGCTCTCTCTTCCTGAGTGACAGAACGCTGAGGCTCCTGGGGTGGCAGTGTGCTGGGCTCACGGGCTGCTTCCCCGCATCTTCTGCACTTACAGGTGGCCAGTGATACGCAGGGACACCTAGAAAACCTCTCCTACGAGATGACCCCATTTTATTGCTCTTTCCTTTGCAGTCCAGCAGTCAGCTTCTTACCCCATGCAACAGGAGGAAGCCGTGGTCTCCAGTGAGCTTATCCAGCCTCCTGCCCAGCCCGACCAACTACTTCCAAGCCCCGTCACAGGACAGGATAAACAGCAGATGGGCTTTGGCCACCGCTGCTGCGATTCCGTCTCTAGCAGAGAATACACAGGTCGGCAATCAAGGCTTATTATATTGGGTTTAATTAGAATTAAATCACTGTGATACTGTGAAACCCCAGCTCCTGGCCGAGGTGGGTAACAAG